TCGGGAAACTCAAAAAGTTTACTGGACTTGGGAATTAAGATCTGGACACAAGCATAATGATTTATTTATTTACAAACTCGAGTAAGAAACTGCAAGGCATACATAGGAAATATTTTTACAAGGTATATTACAAGATGTTGGAGGATGGTGGGTGATGAAGGATGAGGATTTGGTGCTTGGCTTTCTTGAGATTGTTTTCTTTCTCTTGTAGTTGTGTCTTCTCTTCTTCTTTCTTTCCCTTTTTATAAGCTTAAATTTTTGAGACGGATTTTTCAAAATGGACTCAACCCTTCCAGAAATCTTTCTGTCTAGCCTTGTAGGGTACTTCAATTGGGGCCCCATCTTCACATGCTTAGGCAGGGATTTCTTTAGTGTTTGTGACTATTTTCTTCCACGTCAAATTTCAGCTTGTCTTAGTAGTATACCTTTTTCACTGTCTTATTTTCTTATATGTCACTCTTCTTTTTCAATTATCTCCCGAATTATTGCTCTTTGTCTTTGTTGCTCTTATTTTTTTTTTTTTTTTTAAACTGAGACTCACTTCCTTTTACGTGTCTAAGTTATATTAGAGCTATTGAATCAAAGCTATTCCAGATCATCTTCTTATGGATCTGGGCATCTTGATAATTTAAGTGATCTTCATTATCATCATCTTCCCTGAGCTGAGACCTTTCTGGACTTCTTTCTGACTTAGATTAAAACTGGGACTTTTGATCATATGTTTGTCTTGCTTTTCTTTTTCTTGAAAGAAACTTTCTAATTGTCTGTTTAATTATGCCTTTCTATTTTCTCATTTCTTTTCTTTTAGAAATTATACCCTTCTTTTAATGCTTCAACCTGTGTTAGTGTTCTAGGTAGTCCTTCGTCTTGATGAATCCTTCATCTTCACTTTTTGGCAAATGACAGCCATAAACGGATTTGATATGTCTTTTACCGTTACCGTTTGAACCGGACTAGCTGTATCATTATCCGATACAGTAGATTTTGCTGCATTCATTGGGGAATGCACACCCTTCTCATCCATTTTTTCTTGAGATGGAGAACTCTGTTTTTGACTTACTCATCTCAGTGTCTTGTTGAGATATAATTTAAGTCTGGATTGTGTCAATTCAAATTTTAACGCAGTTATCTTTGTTCTAGTACCTTCATTGGCTCCATAAGTCTTGTTTTTTTCCTGTGCCAAGATTTCATTCTTTCTGGTTTATTCGTTTGAAGGCTTCCGTCATTGGATGAGCAATGATCACAGAATATTATCTTGTCGTTGTCCTTTTGGATTTATATTGGGAAACTTTTTCTGGGTTTTGTCTGAGTGCGGGGAGAATATAGTAGTTGGTCCTAGTATTCCTCTTGCATAGTCTAATGCTTCAGTGAAGTCATTGAAACCTTTAAAAAGTGGTTTTCTATGTTTTTAAATAGAGGTCTAGTACTTCTAACCATGTTTGAAAAATGCCATTTGTCTTACCATGTATAACTACAATATTTTAAATCTTTTTTCTTGATTTTTTGTCTGTAAAATACTGTCCTAAGGCATTAAGAGCCGCGTATAACATATTTCAGATAAGATCTTTTTTTATTATATGCTATCCATAAGTTATCAATTAACATCTTTGAGGTCTATCTATGACACATTCTTGGTATACTCTAGAACGATTAGTTTGATGTGGAAAAAATATTAAATTATGCTTTTCAAAACTTATTCTATTATATGAGTTTGTTCTGCAAAGATTGTGGCTTAAAATGAAGAATTACCTAATACTGTCTGCAAGTATTTGTCTGAGGGTGAGGCTTGAATGCCCTTCCCTTGTTCTTCAGTCTTGGGAACTGGTTGGTCTCATGCTGTACATGTAAAATATTTATTAATTAACAGTAATTTTAAGCCTGCTTAACTGATCTGCTAAATTATTATCTTTTCCTTTAATATGTTCAAAAACCAAATTATATATTGATATCGTATCAATAATTTAACCATCTTCTTCTACTACTATTCTTTGCATTTATCTTTTGGTGAAACTTAACTATAGCTTCACAGTCAGTTCTAATTGTTACTTCTTGTTTATTCAATATGTATAATTTAAAACTATTTAATTCGTATATTACAGCTAAAATTTCTGCATCCATACTACTCATTTCTCCTTTTTCTCTATATTTACCACTTTGGTAAGCACATATTTTTTCTGTATTCCTATCCACTATAATTATTTGGTTTGCTTTCAAAACTGCTCCCCATCCTTCAAAACTCCCTCTGTTTCTATATTAAGTAGTCTGTTTCTAATGTCATATTTAATCAGGTAATATTTTTTATTTTTTCTTTGATTTTTGTACTAATTTAATGTCTTCTATGTTGAAATATTTTTGTCTTATAGAGCCTGTCTTTAGGCATATGGCTGGTCCTGCTATTTTCTAAATCTTTTATTAAATTTTCTTGCATTTAAATTTACCAATTCCTAATAACCTTTTTGTAGTTCTTTAGTCATTGTCTAATTGCACTATCTGACATTTCTAGAGCCTTTTTAGCTATACGGGGTATCCTCTCTCT